CAGAATGAATCAGAAGACTTCATCACTTAAAGTAAAATATTGATTTGACGAAAAAGAATACAGTAACAAATTTGCAGCCCTTTCTGAATTGATTATTTACCTATCTAAAAATATTCAGTAAAGTCAATATTTATGATTTTAGATGATACTTTTTAAACATTCACCCCTCGCGCGCGCATGTGTGAGTATTTGTGTTCAGAGGAAAAATATGTATGTATATGTACCATGAGAAGTTGACTCTGCATCTTCCTCATCTGATTCTATTTCTTCGTCTTGAGATCTTTTTCTTTTTTTACTTATAAGTCCACATATTTATTATAAGTCCACATTATATTTATAAGTCCACATTTTCGACAATCTCGTAACTTATTTCGATAGTAATCAACTAATTTTCCTTTAGAAATTTTTTGTTGAGGCCCTTCAGTTTTGGGTGGATAGTAATAAATACTAATATTTTCAGTTGGGAATATTTTTATAATTTGCGTTGCGATGAACTCAAAATGTTCGTTTTTTAAAGGTATCCTACATGAAATTATTAATTAATATTAATTACTATTAAATAAATTAATATAAAATAGGCAAATATTTTCTTACCCTTGTTCACTACAAAATAGAGACATTAAATGCGTAATAATCACATCAACAAGCTTTGAACGTAATTGTCTATTCAGTTTTGTTTCTTTTTTATAATTAGCAATAATTATTCTTCCATCTATGGACTGCTCCAGAATTTCTTTATAATCCTAAAAAAAGTATATATGTATAATATTTCCGAATACAAAAAATGAATTTTTTGATCTCTAATGATGACACATACATTCTGAGACTATTTGGAGAATAAGATTTTTTTTAGCAAATGTAGGTTGCCTGTATTCTTTCTGTACTTCTCCTTCAAAGTTTCTCAGAATTTATATATTTTGTTAAAAATGTTTATAAAAATTTACCTAAAAATTTGGATGACCATTTCTCCAGACCCCATTTTTTTAATGTTTTAATAATAAACTCCGTTGCATCGCTCATTTTGTATAACGTTGCATACACTAAACAAAATTAATATTATAGAAAAAGTGTAACACTAAACAATTACGTTAGATTTTCTTTGGCTACGTTCTGTTTCACGCATGATGCGCATGATTTATCCTTTTATCCTCGTTTAATATTTGGTGATTAACAAGGATAACATCATCATGCACATCATATGTGAAATGGCACATAGCCTTTGTATTGCAGAGAACAACTTGGAGCATAATTTCATGTTATACTTTTTCTTGATGAAATAAACTAAACTGCGTGTGCTAGAAGCATCTTTCTTTAACATATAATAATTAAGTGATAAGATAGAATGATATTATCAGCACAAAAACATTCAAAACGAATGTAGCCGAAATATCGGAAACAAATTCATAAAAGAAGCGATACAAATCCGAAAGCCGAACAGAGTTCGTATTTCTTTTATGTAACGAAAACTTTGGTTAGCAAATGTACATTTATAGATTTATACTTACGAAAATAACACTTTTACCATCCACATACACAAAATTTTATGCTTTTATCCCACCTCTACAATTATATTGTACACCACACCACTGATATTGATCACTTCGATCTGCACACTTAGCGACTTGTCAGCACACGTCGAACTGTGAACGGTTGGATCAAGCATCAAGGAAAAGACGAAAAGACGAAGCGATTTACGTTGGCGCTTGTTTCTCAGTACCACACTGCAGCGTGCGCCATATATTCACGCGACGTTGCTACGCAGGGCGTAACCAAAATGTTTGGTTGAGGAAACAAAATTATTTTGTATAATTTAATTATATATTTTTCTGTAATATAAAATCTATATTTTACATTAAAAAGATTTAAAATTACATTTCTTACAAGGAGATGCCACGAACTGTAAAATACGGAATGA